GTGAGCCATATAAGTAGGCTGTGACAACATCCATCAACCGCATATCAAGCTTTTCACGGACTGCTAGATTTATTAGATACCTGAAGGTAATTGCGTCTACCAAGGGAGACATCTCTATAAAATCAATGCCAAGCCTTTGCGAAAACCCTTGTGCTACAAGTCGTGCTTTATATCTTCCGGCTTTACCTTTATCATTTCGTTTACGCACAAAAACTCATTTGTACCTCACTAGCTTGACACCTTCAGGCGTTCAGACTATTGGTCCGAAAACTTTACGTTTTTCGAGTGAAGCTAATTTCGCTTGAATTGTGTTTTCCCATTTTGGCTAGTCATTTATTTGTCTGCATTCATCGACAAATTTTGGCTCAAGATCCTCATCTTGTTGTATTATTTCAACTGTAACATTATATGCAAAACTGTTATCAACTATAACGTTATTTCGGTTCCACCTTTTTACCGTAGAGATATAACTTATTGAGATCTCTTCATTTTTATCATTTCCAGTACTATAACCTCATGTGAAGTCTTATCAATTATTATGTCTTTATGTTGCTCTTGAGCAATTGCCTCCATGTTATGATCAACTTGATCATTTGCTCCTTTCCTTTTTCGGGGATTCTTATCCTTGGAATCGATTGGTCTACAACGTTTAAGGCGTGGCCTAGACTTATTTGCATTATCATATTGTCCAGCCGGGACATCAAATCGAATTGGAGTATTTACAACTGAAACATGCGATTTAGTAACCCGTGAAAGGTTAGTAAATGCTCTGGCAATTGATTTGCAACATTTTGCATATAAATGATCTTTTGAACTTCTTGTTCACATTGATTTGTACGAGGATCCAAATGAGATAGAGATAATGCATTCCAATCTATCTCTTTTTCAGTTGTTTATTTTCACCCCCTAATGTTGGAAAAACTGATTTATCAAAATGATAATCAACAAATCTGGTTGTAAACAAATCTCATGTCATAGACTCTAGATATTTAATAATAGAAGGAGATTCATAGCCAACATATACTCTCAACCTTCTTTGGGGACCCATCTTGTGCGTTGTGGTGGAGCAATTGGAACATATACCGCACATCCAAAATTTTTTAGATGGGAAATATTTGGCTCCTGACCAAAAACCAACTATAATAGGGAGACTTCATGATAACTGGTTAGACTTATGCGCACAAGTGTTGCGGCATGCAAAATAGCATATCCCCACACTGAAAGGGGAAGTTTTGTCCACATTAGCACTGGTCTAGCTATAAATTGAAGGTGTTTAATCAATGATTCTGCTAGACCATTTTGAGTATGAACATGAGCAACCAGATGCTCAACTTTTAATTTAGTGGCTATACAATAATTAGTAAATGGCTGAGATATAAATTCACCAGCATTATCAGTACAAATTGTCTTAATTGCATAATTTGGAAATTGTGGTCTTAACCTTATTATTTGGTCCAACAATTTCGCAAATGACATATTACGAGTTGACAATAAGCACACATGTGACCATCTATCAAGACCATAAAATACTTGAATGGTCCACATGGAGGGTGTATAGGCCCACATATATCATCCTGTATACGTTCCAGAAATGCAAGGGATTCAATCCTAACTTTAGCTGCTGATGGTTTAATAACCAGTTTTCCTTAAGAACAAGCAGCACAAGAGAATTTCTTAAATTGAAGAATCTTCTTGTTCTTCAATGTGTGCCCATTTGAATTCTCTATTATTCTGCGCATCATGTAAGAATCGGGATGGCCTAACCGGTCATGCAAAATGATAAAATCATTGGAAGTAGTAAACCTTTTGTTTACTATGGCATGTGATTCAACCACACCAATGTTTGTGTGGTATAATCCAGAAGAAAATGCGGATAATTTTTCATGCACACATTATTTTTTCGCTTTTATTGTAGTGATATAAAGGTATTCAACCTTTCCTTCATTAGAGGTCTCAACAGGGTAGCCATTTTGGCGAATAGCTTTGAAACTCAACAAGTTTCTTTGAGACTTACGACAATACAATGCATTATTAATAGTTAATATCATCCCTCCAAGTAGTAATAAGGCCGCTCTTCCAGAGCCCTCAATTAACTTTGTACTACCATATATTGTATTAACATAGGCCTTTTTCATAACCAAATAAGAGAAAAATTTCTTTTCTCTTAATATTGCATGAGTTGTAGCACTATCCAAAAGGCATAAATCTTCATTACTCATCTTGGATTCAATTTAAGACTAGAGAATTTTATTTTCTTCATAAAAAAAAAAGTACACCATGAGAAATACGAAAAAACTAACAACACCAACAACAACATAAGGCAACTTAAGTACTACTTGAAAATAAAAATAACTTTAGAACGAGACAAAAAAATACTGAAAATAAAATAACAACATAATTGTATTCCCCAATAAAATGATCAAACTTTAGTTTTGATATCCAAAGAAGTCTTCGACTTCCAAAGGAGTAAGATCATCGAGGCCTTCAAAATCATCATCATTCAAAGCAAGATTTGCCTCTGCATTGTCATTATTTTTGTTTGAAGGTCCTACCTCAAAATCATTTTTAAAGGTCAAGTGAGACTCCACTGGGGCATTAGCAGAAGATGCTCCAACATTATTTGCCTTTCTTTTGATGGAGATTTGATAAAGCCTGACAAAATACTTAGGTGCACGATATTCAATTTTTCAATGACCTTTCATGCCACATCGATGGCAGTTACTGCTTTTGCCTCTTGAAGGATTGTTTTGAGAACCCATATTGTTCTCTCGTTTGCCATGACCACCACGATGACGATTATTATACCGTCTCTTGCCATTTCCATGCCCATGTACATTCATTTGACCATGATAATTATTATATTTTTTTCAGACTTATCACGTCTCGCTACCATATTCGTTTCGGGAAGCGGAGCTGACCTTGTGGAACGGGCTTCATGATTTTTCAGCAAAAGGGTATTATGTTGCTCAGCCACCAGAAGACATAAGATCAATTCAAAATATTTTTTAAAACCCCTTTCACGGTATTGCTGCTGTAATACCATATTTGAGGCATGAAAAGTCGTAAGAGTCTTTTCCAACAAATCCTTATCATTCATAACATCCCCACATAATTTCAATTGGGAAGTTATTCGAAATAATCAGAGTTATACTCACTTACGGTCTTAAAATCTTGCTACCGTAAGTGCATCCACTCATATCGAGCCCTTAACAATACCGTAGCCTTAAGGTGATCATACCTTTCAGTCAAGTCAGTCCACAATTCAAGTGGATCTTTCACTATCAAATATTTAACCTTCAAACCTTCATCCAAATGATGACGAAGGAAAATCATGGCCTTCGCTTTGTCCTGACTTGATGCCTCATTACCGTGAGTAATGGTGTCACCAAGGTCTTTAGCGGCTAAGTGAATCTCAACATCGAGAACCCAAGGTAATTATTTCCAAAAATATCAAGTGCCACAAACTCAAGCTTTGACAAATTCGACTTAGTAAAAACTGAACAACGAAAAAAGCTCAACTCCGTGCTGATAACGTTTTAAGAAATGTAGTTCAAAGTAACAATATAAAACAAGAAGATAAGTAGAATAAGAGGAGAAGAGATAACTTTCTTATATCATTAAGTGTTCAAGTGTATCCCATATCACATTTCATGCCTCTATTTATACTATTACATAGAAGGTTACAAAAGGATTGTCTTAAACATGACATTAACAATTGAGATCATGGGGAAAGATCATAGGAAAGAGTTATGGAGGTGTGAGAGTTACAATCATAATAGTGATAAGTAGTGGAAGATTATTTACATCATGAATGAAAGTAGTGGTAGTAATGGACATCCATAATTACTATAGGTTTTATAACAGAAGACTATAAATAAGATTCATTTATCCTTAATCAAATGACTCATGTTCGAACTTTAGAATAAAAATATTCCTAATAATATAAATGGATGACGAACCAACTGGTCATTACCGTGTCCGCAAACCTTTTTTACTGCCCGCAACTGGTAGCCGCGTTGAACTTTGGACCACCTCCCTGCAAAATGGCGATTGGTGATCTAAATTACCCACAGTGTGAAAAAGGATTACAGCCGTTACAGTTTCTCCCGTCAGTCCTCAGCCGCCCATTTAGAATTCTTTCTCCATTGCAATTTGCATCCGAAAATTACACACCGTAATAGGGAAAAAGTCAAATCATTTTGTCTACATTTAAATTTCTAAATCTCCGTAAACTAAAAAATATATACTTCTAGTATAATGACAAAATTTTTGCAAAGTATTACAATATAATATTTACATTTTATAAATTACCTTTTTAAAAATTTCTGGCTCCACTTTACACCTTATCAAAGTTAAAATTCACAGTTTTTTTGTTTATTTTTTGCAACAAACATCAAACTTTTGACAACCTTTTAATTTTAATTCCTTTTTAGTTTAAAGACGTGTAAAGATTGTCGAACGTCTTAGATAAGCTGCCGACATGCTGACGTGGACAGAACTAATCGCTAACTTTTTCACTGTGACAGTAACCATCTAAAACTGCTAATTTTTACTATTTTTAACTCCCTCCCATATTCATAGCAGGCAATTTGTTTTTTTAAATACAAAGTTTGTATTTGACTAATAATTTAAAAAATAAATTTAAACAGTAATAATGTTTAACTAAGTTTTTAAAAATTATTTTTACGCGTATTTTTCTCAAAAGCATATTTTTAAAAAGAATTTTTTTTTTTGTTTTTCAAAAACTATTTATGCTTTTACTTCTTTTTCTTCTAAAACCTTGGCTAATCACCTTAATTTAAAATTTTAAAAAAAAATTATTTTTAACTAAAGAAACACTTTTAGCCACAAAAATAAAATTGTCCAGATAGGCTATTAAGTATTAATGACATACCAAAATCTTTTACCGGAAAATTCGATTCCCTTTCCATAAATCCAAAGTGAATGTTTTTTTCACAATTTGAATAGCATATTTTAATCCTTATTATCACTACCATTTTAAAAAAAAGTATTTCTTAGAAGCAAAGAAATCCATTTGGGAAGGAAAAGTAAAAAGAAAATAATTTAAAAAAAACTCTCTGTATATAAGGAAAAAACTTGACTCATTTCCAGCAAGTTGAAGAGAAGTTTCAGTTGGCCAGTGATTCTTGTTTCCTTGTTTAGAAACAACGGTTTACTTCAATTATCAAAATTTATTACTTCTGCCTTCAATTTAGGGTTCTACTTCAAGGTCTGTATCCAATATATATATATATACATACATTCTGCTGTTTCTGCAATATATACAGAATCTCTTCTAGGTATTGATTATAGATTGATTTTGATTTTTTTTTAAAAATTTGGTGTGTTTTTAGTCCATTTATAAAGTTGGATATAAGATTTTCATTATTTAGTGGTAGATTATCCTTAGAGTTTAATTAGATTATGGTTTCTTTGATTTCTGGATACTTTGTTCATTTGCTGAATTTAAGGGTTGATTATTGGATAATACTAATTGGTTATTCTTTTTGTTGTCTGCTTTTGTTGGAAAAAATTGGATCTTGCATTTTTTTTTTTGTGTGTGAGTTTGGTGTTAGGCTTTGTGAGTAGTACCTCATTTTGCTGTTCTTTAGTAAATGTATTAATTTTTATTAAATAAAAGTTTCTGCTGTCTATTCAGTTGGCTCAGTCTATACAGAATATCTTTTAGATATTGATTATTAGATTGGATTTGATTTAGTTTTGGGGTATTTGTAGTGTAGTCCATTTATAAAGATTTCATTATTTAGTGATAGATTATGCGTAGAGTTTAATTGGATTTTGGTTTCTTGATTTTTTGATACTTTATTCAGTTTGCTGAGTTTGGGGGTTCATTATAGTTATGTCCATTTCCAAAGATTTGGTTTTTGGGATTTCGGGTCTTTATATTTTGGTCCATTTCCAAGGATTTCATTATTTAGTGTTAGATTATGCTTAGAGTTCCAGTGTTATTAGTGTCAGTCTTGTATTCTAATATTGTAGATTTTTATCACTACATGTTATTCCTTTAACCTCTTTTTCTTTTTATCTTGTTCTCGTTAATGCTTGTTGCTACTGCTATATTTTTATTTTTTCCTCATGTCGAGGGTCTACTGGAAACAACCTCTCTACCTTTACCGCGGGGGTAATGTCCGCATACTCTCTACACTCCCCAGACCCCACTTGTGGGATTATACTGGGTTTGTTGTTATTGTATATTATGCTTAGAGTTTGATTGGATTTTGGTTTCTTGGTTATTGGATAATATACTAATTGGTTATATTGTCTGCTTCGGTGGGAAAAAATTGGATCTTGCAGTTCGGGTTTTTCTGGTGAAGAGGAAGAAGAAAATGGCGTTGTTGAACAATTGTGAAAATTTGGGGTTAGGCATTGTGAGAAGTACCTCGTTTGGGCGAAAACGAGTCACTTTATCGAATACAGTAGACGTTGATTTCATCTCAACAACGCCTACAAAGAGATTCTGCAGTCGGAACTCATTTTCTACAAATGAGAAATCTGGTCTTGAATCCTTGCCTAAAGATATCTTGGTTAGTTCATTGTCTATTTCTTTTTTGTGTATCTCTTCTATTCTTATGCCAATTGTTCAAGATTGTAACTTTTCCCCTGTTAAGATAAACGTTGAAGTGTTAAGAAAGAGATGTGTTTCTTTCTTTATCTATTTGCAGATAAGGATAGTGTGTGGAGTTGATCATGATGATTTGAAGAGTCTATTTCATGTATCAACGGCAATTAGAGAAGTGGTAAGCTTTAATATGTCATTGAAATATTGTTAAATATCAATTGAGGAAGTATTACTTTGTCTAAGTATTGATGAACTATTTCTTTTTGATGTATGTATGAGCAGACTCTGATTGCGAAAAAAATGCATTTTGAGTTTAGTACACCGAGAAAGACTCTTCCTTTTCGGAATGCTTTTGATATGGAGGATTCGGGCAATTCCGATGAGGTAGAACCACCAAATGCTCCAAAGCTGCCGAAGATTGCAAGGTCTCGATTGAGTAGGAAGAAGTTGGCTGAGATCTCTGTAGCCTTGTTTGCCTCAGATGCCGAAGAAAATTGGCCATAGAGAGAGTTATTTGTACAATTGGAAACTGAGGTATAGAACCAGAAACAGATTATGTATAGGTATTATTGTGGTAGAAACTCAAAAAAGGAAATCTGAGTCACGACGAAGGGTTTGATCTGATATCTCATTGGAAGAAAGGATCCGGGAGATGTACTTGAAGATCACTTGCCCAGTTCTGGAAGGACAAGACTGGAGAATTGTCACCGGATTTGAGCTTCCGTCAGTATGCTGTTTCATCGTTAGACGGAGCTCTCTTTTTATCATCTCGTGCTAGATGCAACATTCTTTTTCCTGCTTGCGAACCACAGGAGCGCCTAGTGCACAGAGGAAGTCCAACTGAAGAGGAGCTTAGATTGCGCGCATACTATAATGGTTGAAAAGAGATCAACGAATGGACCAAGCACGAGAGCGACACGAACCAGGTTTACATGTCACAACAAATTTTTACAAGCCATTGTTCTTCAACTCTATCATTGAAGATGGGCTTGATTGTTTGTGTTGATAGTTAGTTTTAGGGATTCTATTTGAAGGGGCTGCTCTGGCGCTTCTGATTTCATAAAAAATTCAGTTGTACATATGGAATTAACTGCATATGGAATCACACGCGTTCGTTTGGCACTAATACTACAGATATGTTGATGAAATAAAAATGTGTCTGTCCTTCCACTTCAATTAACAACACATGTTTGAGTTCTTCATTGGTTTATTATTATTTAGATCATTTTATCATCTCGAGCCGTGGAAGCAGTAGGTTGTTTATATCACACCTCTAGAGATGCGGCCCTTCCCTGAATCCCGCGTGAATGCGAGATGCCTTGTGCACCGAGCTACCTTTTTTTTTCCTCCTATAGTTTGATGCATATCGTATTATCGTTTGGTACTCGAAATAAGGTGCGATAAGGTGTGTGATAAATTTAAACCATGTTTAGTTGACGGTATAAATTTATCCCAATCTTAATACAGGATATTCCACCTTATCCCATCAAACTTTGGGATTATATTATCCCACCTCTCAGGTGGGATAAATTAGTCCAAGAATTATAATCCCGGAATAATTTAGACGACCCTTTTAAGAGTCTAAAACTATAGGTATCTAGCGCTGAATTTCCTTTCCAGTTGCATCAGAAGCATGTGTTTTATGTTTCCAGTTGCTTAGTCACAGAAAAGCAAATCAAAATAGGGAATCCTAAGCTGAAATAAGACATGTTACAGGACAAATTCTCTGTATTTGTCCATGTGTGGCACTAGTGTTTGGTATGTTTATTAATTATCCCCTATTCTAGTCACTTGTAATAAATAACTTAAAATTGTTTGCTAGATGCCTAGATATCTGGGTAGCTATATTGCGAGTTACTTCATGTAAACTCCTTAAAAGATTAGTATATGTATTTTGTATATACATTTTGAAATTTATAGATGGAATTGAATATCGGAAAGAGAAATACTACATCCGGTCCATATTATTTGTCTTTTAATCTTTTTTTACGCCTTTAGAGAAAGATATTTAGTAACCTTAATTATAAGAGTATTTGTCTACACCTCCTTTTTCTCTGTCTTAAAATTTTCGATTAATTAATACTCGACCAGTTGAAAAAACAAGAATAAATTTGGTAAAAATAATATTAATAAAAGCTTCTTACTTTTTTGTTGGTGTCAAATATTTTAAAATAAATATTTTGTTCATCAAATAAACAAATAATATGGATCAGATAATAGGTAAAATATAGTCTTCTGATTGCAATGTGAAAGTTGTGAAAAGTTGTATTATTGTATTTCAAAACAAAGGAGGGAGTATTGTAATCTTGGTATTGTGGGCACAGCTTGTAAGTCGTATAATTATTGGTAGAATTTGCGGCATTGTTAAAGCCTTGATTAGCTTTAATCAGGATTTAGAAATTTGTAGCCAGCTTGTAAACCTCTCACCACGTCTCGCTGTTCATAAACACTTTCTGCTGCCAAGTCTGATTTTGCTGGAAAGGGGATACACTTGGCAAGAATAAACGAACTTTAACCCATATTTATTTTCAAATAGCTTCTCGGGGCCCTCTGCGCCAGAGTGAACCCGCCGGGGCGATCCACTCACCCGGAGTTCAAGTTCGATCCATTTGAGTTTTTTTTTTCCAGAAAAGAAACGAGAGTGTTTGGAGCTATGCCACTGTAAAATCGTTAATATCCGCGAAAACTACTAAAATTCTCGGATCTATACTAGAGACCAGGAGACAATGATCGAAGTCAGACTTGAGTCTGTTGAGTTTTTAATTAAAAACAAAAAGAGGAGTGAATAGAAAATGGTGGGAAATAAAATTTTGAATTGGTCCCTTTTACAAGGAACTTTGACCCTCATTGGATAGGAAGAGTAAAATTCTTGTGCTTATATATAGAAGCACTTCTTCTACTTCTTAAAGAGTTGAGAAGAGAGCAAGCCTCACGCCGTTGTCAGCATTGACTCAACTCTGTTGGCTATAAATAGAGAGGCCCAGCCTCATTTTTCACTACCGAAATATGAAAATCTCTCCTCCTCTATCTTTTGCATTCTACATTGTTTTTTAAAGCAAAAACGTAAGCATTTTGTGTGATTTGCTCTGCCATTTGAGTTCGCCAGTTCTGTGATTTGAAGTGCCGCTATAACAGAATAGTTATTCCGTTCTATCCTGGGAGGAATCTCTCCCCTCTTTCTTCTGCATTATTTTTCAAAGCAAAAACGTAAGCATTTTGTGTGATTTGCTCTGCCATTTGAGTTCGCCAGTTATGTGATTTGAAGTGTGATAACTAGGGGTTTTAGCCTATTATTTGCTCTTTTTTGTTTAGGTTTTGGGTAAAAAAATACGTAAAGGTATTCCTGAAAACTAATTTAATGTGCTTGCTTGTAAGGTTTTGTCAAAATGAGGCAAAGAAGCCATCATCCACTCATAAAGGAGTCAAACCTGCACAAATCCAAGGCTGAGACTGGAGCACTGAGAGCGGCAGAAAAGCGCGGCCGCGTAAGGACCACCGCTGAGGCGGCCACTATTACGTGGTCCGCGAAAGTAGATTCGGAGAAGTTGCTTTGAGTACTAAAATCACCGCTGACCGCGTTGGAAAGGCGCGGCTGCGAAGGGAATTTCACTGAGAGCGCATCTTGAGGTTCAGAGACCCTGCAAGTCAGGCTTAACTGAAGAACGCGGTCCGCATCCAAATTACACGGCCGCGATGGAAGCACACGCGGATGTGATTGAAATTACGCGGTCCGCGAAACTAAGCCCAATCCAAGCCCAGTATTGAAGAAACGCGGATCACACTCATTATTACGCGGCCGCGAAAGCTCAAGCACGGACGCGGTCAGAATTATGCGTCCGCGAATCCTCCGCAGGGGCATTTTCGTCCGAAAATTTTAGCCTAGTATAAATAGATCCTTTTGTCAATTTTAGGTTAAGTTTTGTTTAGCAGAGCACGTGAACGGCCGGTTTTTCCCTTTTTGGGTAATTTTAGAGTAGATTTACCTTCAAACTTTAGATTTTCATCTTGTACTTTAATATTATGACTTATATTTCATCTTTATCTTTGATTTCTACTGTTATTATGAGTAGCTAGACCCTATAGCTAGGGTTGTGACCCAACCCTAGTGTGAGTATTTAATGAGTCTTGAATTTTAGGGCTTAATTGTTTATGGGTGAGTGATATTTAGCCTAATTCATGCTAAAATTATAAAATTAGCGGTTGCAAATACTGATTCATGCCTTTATGACTTAGACTCTTCTTGAGAAAGATGGACTAAGTCTAGAAAAATTTGGCTAACAAGGAATTGGGGTGAACTCAAGAGATTGATAGCCCCAATTAAAGGGTTAAACCTAGAGATAGTAATACCTGACTTGAGCTAATTTTACTTGTATTGGATGAACACCCATTTGGGCTTGAGAAAGCCAAATCGGGAAAAGTCACTCAAACTACCGAGAGGTATCGAGTGAGCACTTATGTGTGATGGTTATATCACGACCCCAATCATAACAAGCTTGTTCTAGATTCTTGATACTCATTAGATACTCACCTAGGCGAAAGTCACTTCCCTAGTGCCTTTTAACACTTGAAAACTTTCACCAAAAATATTGTACTTAGCTTACACTTAGCATACAATAGTATAAAATTATAATAGAATTAATCGCAACATTGTTTGGATGTGCAATTAGGAATAACACGTACATCTAGATTAGTTAGACACCTAACTCCAAGCCAAATTAACTCCTTGTGGAAATCGATCTCGACCTTGTTGGGTAAAACTATATCGACCATCCTCGCTACTCTATAGTGGTATAGGTTTGGCCTCGATCACTTTTTGGCGCCGTTGCCGGGGAGTTAGACGGTGTTGGCTATCTATCTAACTATTTGTGTGTCTTGTTTTTTTTTTTTCCTTATGTTTTTCTAACTTTTGTGTATCAACCGCTTTAGGTACCAAATGGCTCATAATGATGCTCTCGGACATGTTCTTCCGGGGGAGGAGGTAGATGACAATAGTGAGGATGAGGTTAATCTAGAACCTCAAGTCCAAAGAAGAGGCCGCCAGGCTAATGACAACATTTCAAACCCTCCCCCACTTCCTCCACGGACAGCACACCGGGTGCTACCTAATGAGGGTTACGCAAGTGAAATTGTCCCGCCCCGGATTCGGGCGAGCAACTTTCAAATTACAAATGTCATGCTGACCCTTTTGGAGCAAAGGGGCTTCTTCATTGGAGCTCCTCATCAGAATGCATACAAGCATCTAAAGGGTTTTGTAGACACATGCTGGGGGAGCAAACAAACGAATGTGTCAGAGGATGCTCTGAGGTTGAGACTTTTCCCATTTTCACTTAGAGGAAAAGCTTTGGACTGGCTCGAGAGGCTTCCCAACCACTCCATACACACGTGGGATGAGTTGGCAGAAACATTTATAGTCAAGTTTTTCTCACCGGGTCATATGGAAGCATTGAGGGATGGGATCTTAGCCNCAAGCTTGTCCTAGATTCTTGATACTCATTAGATACTCACCTAGGTGAAAGTCACTTCCCTAGTCCCTTTTAACACTTGAAAACTTTCACAAAAAATATTGTACTTTGCTTACACTTAGCATACAATAGTATAAAATTAGAATAGAATCAATCGCAACAATGTTTGGAAGTGCAATTAGGAACAACACGCACATTTAGATTAGTTAGATACCTAACTCCAAGCTAAATTAACTCCCTGTGGAAATCGATCCCGACCTTGTTGGGTAAAACTGCATCGACCATCCTCGCTACTCTATAGTGGTGTGGGTTTGGAACCGATCACTTTTTGGCACCGTTGCCGGGGAGTTAGACGGTATTGGCTATCTATCTAACTATTTGTGTGTCTTATTTTTCTTTCCTTCTGTTTTTCTAACTTTTGTGTATCAACCGCTTTAGGTACCAAATGGCTCATAATGATGCTCTCGGACATGTTCTTCCGGGGGAGGAGGTAGATGACAATGGCGAGGATGAGGTTAATCTAGAACCTCAAGTCCAAAGAAGAGGCCGCCAGGCTAATGACAATATTCCAAACCCTCTCCTACCTCCTCCACGGGCAGCACACCGGGTGCTACCCAATGAAGGTTACGCAAGTGCAATTATGCCGCCCTGGATTCGGGCGGGC